CATCAGAATTCCCGTTTTGTTCTTCAAATTTTTTGTGATCTTGTAGAGAACAGAAAAAGAAACGGGAAATAGGCTGAAATTTTTATGACTCGAACACGGTGCATGTTTTTCTGGTTCTATTATTTACATTTAATCTTTAATATATTCGCTTTCTCTTTTTTCGAGCACTCAATTAACGATTTGTCCGGTCATTGCATGTCTCTAATTTAAATAATTTAGCTACCGGTATTTTTCAGTGTTTTTGCAGTTATTTCAGTATTTACAATAGAACCGTTTCGAAGGTGCGATTTTATTCTAGGTATTAATTTTCTGATTTTTCACGACTGCCCATTTCCAAAAATCCCAAAAAATCGACGGAAATCACGACCACAAATCGGCGATAAATTGCGAGATTTTACCGAGAGTTCCTACGTCGTAATTTTCATCGATTAATTGATCGGGTGTATCGATGGATTCCGGAAACACGGGTACCGTGATAAACGCCATAATGGATCCAGTGTAGCACGACGTGATGATGATAGTAAAAACCCAATAAATACCTGAAAGCAAAAAAAATAATAACCAATAAAAATATTTCCAGAGAAATGAAATAATGGATTTAGCAGATAATTGTTACCAATTAGAAGTGACGTTGAATTCTTAGCAATTCCAGTATCCAAAAGTGGATTGCTAACGACGAAGCTATTGGTAAATGTACTGAAGACATACCAAATCATGTGCATGAATCTCGAGGGATGAGTAACCAGCGAGAATATGCTGTAATTTGTGTTGGTAGCCAGGGGAATAACGGCAATGACATAAGCCATCATTACCAGGACCCATACAGCTGGTTGAAAGGGTCCCATTATCGCCCGGTACTTTGGCAGGGCCAAGGATGCCTCTGATATCAAGGCCGCACAATCCTCCATATGAGAAAAACAACTGTCCAATCTTCCTGTTACATTATTTGTCACATAAATTCCACCAATCGCTACACTCGTCTCACCTTTCTCCACGTCCATTAGTGCAGCGTACGTTGGGCTGTGAATTATTTTATTATTCAACATTATGGATCATCGAGATATTTTTTGTTGATTGGTTACCTTGATGATGCTGTTGGATCTCTGAATTCAGCTGTAAAGTTCAGAGCTTTTCCCAGAAGTCTCATCATCCTGATGTCAATTCCATCCCAAGCGATTTGATCTTGACTCAATCCACGTCTGGAGTCATCGATTAATGTATCAATATTAATGATAATGAGAGAATAAAAATTACAAAATGACAATGCACTATTGATTAATCAATTTATAAGATAAATCTTCATTGATTCCATCTGATTCTTCTCTCGTCGTGAAGGTGTCAATGAAATTTTATCAAATGTGTTGGGGATTAAAAAATCAAAGGACAATCCGAAGGGATATCCTCACCAAGAAATTTTCCCATCGTTTCCTCTTGAATTTTTCAATACACGGGGTAATGAAGAAATAAATAATAATGTTTACGTTCTGATTGCGAAGGGCGGTTTGTGGGCGGTTGATATTAATAGTCTGTGACCCTTGAAACCTCCGGTGAGTTTCTCTGGGAATAGATCGATATTTCTGTGTGTCGTGTGGTCCCTTATCCAGGATGTTAGCAGAACAGGTTTACTCGAACCACTTCCATCTGTGTACAGCCTATGAGTATACAAGAGAAATGACCCTTCCTGGAATCCGCGAAAAATATCCATTTTCATTGACATCAATAACAAAAATAATAATCTAAGCACGGCAATCGGCGCGAAAATTAATTGAAGTTTGATTTTATTTAATTGCAGAAATTATTTGAAATCGAAAATTAATTTTTCAACGAATGGAGAGGAGACAGATGAGGAATTATAAATTTATTCTAATTTAACTAATTAACAAGTAATTATCACAAATTAACCTCCAAAATTTCCATGAGATATTGTAAAAACGTTAAAAAAGTCACGCAATGATTTCTCTAAAAAAAATTTCCAATCCATTGAGCATTCAGTATATTTACCTCAGTTCTTTTACTCATGCTGTGAGTAATAATTACCAAATTAACGTAAAATCTTGCACTGAAACTTTTGAGAAACTCTTTGACTTTCCAAGGTGTCGATTCCGTTATGACGAGAACTTTATTAACTGTTTCCTTCGCTATAATTTTTTCGATGCTGTAGATATCATCCAGAAAAATCATGTAATTGTAACACTTGTCCTTGAAGACAATGGGTACTTGGTTCAATGATGCATTTGTACTTCTCTGGATGAAAGAGGCGAAAGGGAGACTGGAATACAAGCCCTTGAGAAAACCAGGCAGTTGTTCAATGCTCTTGTCATCGTAAATTGTTATTACAACGCAACCACCAAAGTACTCTCTGAGAATATAATCGAGTAAACGCCCTAAACTTTCTGTCCGTAAATTCCTTTCAGGAGATACTCCCATATGGATCGTGTCACACCCAGTGCTGATTATTCTGGACATGATCGATATTGCTATAATTTTTTTCAGAATTTTCATGATTATTTTTTCGAAAATCCAGACACTCGGTTCGGAGACATTCAGTCGAGTCAACTGAGTTCAGAAATAAGACGATCCGGTTTTTATATCTCACGAGATATCGATATTACTGTTATTACTTTTCTCATATTTATTAGACATTACATGTAATGCTCTTCAATTTTTTATGGGAACTACCTCGTAAAATCGATTCTCATTCGGACATGTGAACACGAGAGATTGGAATGCAATCAATGATTTGTGGATAGAAAATAATCTAAAGTCATTTCATCCGGTTTATCACAATGTAATTTTGACATCATGAATAAGTGGAATTATCCCCTTAAAAAATTCAACATAATTCATTTAATTCAACTATTATCATCCCTTATCAGTATTATTATGAATTTAGTAATAGGAAGGATTTATAATTTCCACTGTAGGGAAATAATATTCATTCAGTGGATCAGATATTTTTTTAATGAATTTCCAAGCTGCAGTTGTAACGCGCAAATGATAATAACTGTAACTCCATCAATTAAATTACTGTTTTTAGAAATCAACTGATAATTACTGTGGAAGTTGGAGAAATAATTGAAAATAATCATTACCAGATTTGCAGTATATGCATATTCTGGTCGTCATTCGGGTTTATAAAATATTTAATCCGTCTGAGCGCATCTTTCCACACTGCAATCAGCATTAATATCGCATTCCTCCATTAAAGATCAATTAAGAAATTAATTGAGATATCAGAGGGGTAGAAACTTGTTCTCAAATGATTTTGTAACACCAAAAAATTGAATTTTATAACAAATAAATGAAAGAATGGAAATTATTTGCAATTCATTCTTTGAGTTACTTTTGGTCGGCTGAAATAACAAATTAATCAATTGAAATATTCAGATTCAATTAGCAATAAGCAAGTAGATTTATTTAATTACCGGGATTGACTGTAATGCGAACGTTTTCAATAATTAAAAGCACGGCAATCGGCGCGAAAATTAATTGAAGTTTGAATTTTTTTTAATTGCAGAAATTATTTGAAATCGAAAATTAATTTTTCAACGAATGGAGAGGAGACAGATGAGGAATTATATATTTATTCTAATTTAACTAATTAACATTAATTAACGCGATTTCAAGGAATGAAATAATGATTTTTCGGTGTCCAACCGATTTTTCAACGATGGCGATAACTTAAAATTAATAAAAAATGTGAGTAATAAAAAATCGGAAGTTGAAGATTTCTTCTCTAGAATTTTTCAAACAATTGGAAATCGTCGGATCACAGCCATCTATCTCTAAAATGAAAAATCATTGGGATTCCACTGGATGTCACTGCCAGATATTTCTGAATTGCCGATCGAGCTGCTCCAAAATTGAAACAATAAAAAGCCGTGCAACCGGCGATTGTAGATCAGTCCTGGACTAGCTGTTGAATTCCATATTCCTTGAGATTTTCCAAGAACAAAGGGATTTCGCCAGTACTTATTTCCGAGAGCATCAAAATGACTGGAAAAATCACTTACAAAGTTGGTAAGTTCAAGTCGATTTTCTCAATTTGTTTGAATTACCAATTATTTATCTGCAACGACAGTTACAACAGTTGAACAACAAATTAAAAAAAATTTCAATCTGCTTGAGCACGTGGTGGCAATAACTCAGCGATAACGGCTGATACCGAATTATTAAATGACTTTGGAGTTGCTGGATTTTTAATTAATAATGGATTATCCGTTATTTATTTTCTAGCCGATATTTCGTTGGCGGGGTTCGGCAGAAAGGAAATTACCCTCGCAGAAAATGAGATGCCGGGACTCATGGCCATTCGCAGGAAATATGGACCTCAGAAAATCCTTAAGGGTGCGAGAATCGCTGGATGTCTTCATATGACTGTACAAACAGCTGTTCTCATCGAAACCCTCACCGAACTCGGGGCAGAGGTGAATTAAAACTTCCGTCATAAAACGGAGAACAAACAATAATTCCTAAAATATATCTGACAAAGGTGTCGTTTGTTGACTGAAAAAGGTTATCGCGACTGACCTTCATGAAACGAGGAAAGAGAATAATAGAAAATATTGAAATAACTCTCGACATTGCTCTATTTTTCCTCGATTGCGATTACCATATTTTTCATAATATATGGAAAGATTGAAGAGTTGAAAATTTATTGAATGAAATTATTCAGGTACAATGGTCTTCCTGTAACATCTTCAGTACTCAAGATCATGCAGCAGCAGCGATCGCAGAAACAGGAGTTCCAGTTTTTGCCTGGAAAGGTGAAACCGACGAGGAATACACCTGGTGCATCGAGCAAACTCTAGTCTTCAAGGATGGAAAACCCTTGAACCTGATCCTAGATGATGGAGGTGATCTCACTAATCTCGTCCATTCTAAATACCCAGAGTACCTGAAAGAGTGCCGTGGCATCTCCGAGGAGACCACAACTGGTGTTCACAATCTCTACAAAATGCTCAGAGAGAATAAATTGAAAGTCCCAGCCATTAACGTTAATGACTCTGTCACCAAGGTTTGTTATTGCATCAGATACAATTTATCAATCGTACGATATTGTTTCACCACTATCCACGAAATTAGCGTCTTGTATCTAGTCATTATCAACTTATCACCTATTTCCAAATTTAATTACTATGTTTTCAGGAAATTGACCTTCATTAATTTTCACGACGTAATCAATTGATCATTAAGATAAATGAATATATCTTTCCATCAGTCGTACTTCGATTAGAAATTAGATCTTGAATAACGATAAGAAATTAAATTCTCAAATGAAAATTTTTTCAATTCTTTTATTTCATTCATGCATTGAAATGCCTATGAAATTCTCAATGCAAATGATTTAATTTTGCAGAGCAAATTCGATAATCTCTATGGGTGTCGAGAGTCCTTGATCGATGGAATAAAACGAGCAACTGATGTGATGATCGCAGGAAAAGTCTGCGTCGTGGCAGGATATGGAGACGTGGGTAAAGGTTGTGCTCAGAGTCTTCGAACTTTGGGTGGCCGTGTCATCATCACAGAAATCGATCCCATAAATGCTCTCCAGGCTGCGATGGAGGGATACGAAGTCACAACCATGGAAGAAGCAGCTCCCAAGGCTCAAATTTTTGTCACAACAACTGGATGCAAGGACATCATAACTGGCTCACACTTTGAATCGATGCCTGATGACGCTATTGTCTGCAATATCGGGCACTTTGACTGTGAGATTCAGGTCTCTTGGTTGGAGAAAAATGCTGTGGAGAAGGTCAACATCAAGCCACAGGTGGATAGATTCAAGCTCAGCAATGGCAGACACGTCATTCTTCTCGCTGAGGGAAGACTCGTCAACCTGGGATGCGCCACTGGCCATTCCAGCTTCGTCATGAGCAATTCCTTTACTAATCAGGTCCTAGCACAGATCGAACTGTGGACCAAACCTGGGACGTACCCCATTGGCGTCCATATGCTGCCCAAGAAGGTGAAGCATTATTTTTTTTTATTCTTCCAATAATGCTCCAAACAAAAAATTGGTGCCATGATCTGAAAATTTATTTATTTTTATAATTTTCCAGCTGGATGAAGAAGTCGCTGCTCTCCACTTGGACAAATTAGGCGTCAAGCTCACAAAATTGACCCCTGAACAGGCAAAATATCTGGATATTCCTGTGAATGGGCCATACAAACCCGACCACTACCGATACTAAATAAATTTTAAAAAGAAATGGCAATCGTGTGTGGATTATGATAAGAGATCTTTTTTACTGAAAATAGTGCTGTGAAGTGAGCATTTTCATTGATAAAGATAATATTCATTCATTCAAGTGTTTTTTGTTTTACTCAACAACTCAATATCAGTCTTCTTTTTTGTTTCCTATCTATTTACATTTATTGAAGTGATAATCAGTGAAATACTTAGCGATAAAGATCTCATGGAATGGGAGAAAAGCGTGAAACGATTTGGTCCACCTGTCAACGTTCATCCTGGTATCAAGGTACGTATAAAGATCCCCAATAATTGAATATTCAAAAGAATATTTTAAAAATCAATCACGAATTAAATCAAGTTAGCAAGATGGATTCTCCTAACGACTGGAATAATTCATGGCGTAACAAAAAAATCGAATTACATTCACCTGGAGAAAAAACTTCAGGAAGGTCAAGAAGAAGCGCAAATCATAAAAGATAAATTCATTGAGGATGAAAAATCAAGAATTTTCCATGAAGAATCGGAATTTCTGAGGGAACAATTTCTTGGCAAAGGGAAATCAACTGATTCAGAGGCAAGGTCAAATCATGAATGAGAGAATTGAAAATATTTCGATAATACTCAGTAAGAAAATGTGTATTCCACAATGTCCATGAAGTACGTGAAATCCAATCATTAACATAATTAATTTACAGTCTTTCTTCTTTATATTACATATATCTACATCTTAAGTAGTGAAGTACTTTCCTGCAGACAACAACATCCGCAACCAGTTGGACAGACACTTTCTTTCGTGAACCATGCAGCTAAATGCTGTGTATGACCTCCATGACCGCAGACAGTGCAAAAATTGCTCGGACCTGACGAATGCAAGACAAAAAAACCAATACTTCATTCAAAATAATCATTTAATTTGACCTAATTCCTAGGGAAAGAAGCTATCAAAATATTGCGATAATTTTGAAGCGCTTGTGGTCTTACGAGTGATGATTTTTAAATTTTTTAATTAATGAAAACATACCTCTGACTGAAATGTGACAAATGACACACTGAAAGGTCAATCTTTTGCAATGGGAGCATTGTGGTCCCCTGCTGGTCTTCGTGCAAAGGTGGCATTCACTCTGAAACTCAACATCTTTATTCGGATCGAGTTGTGATGAGCTGACGTGTTTGAGAACTTGTGCCCTAGCGTCTAAAAGCCTCCACCTGTGCAGCACCTCTGCATAAGCCTTTTTGTAGCTATCATACAAAGTATTATTTTTCTCATCGAGAAGTTTGAGATTTCTCCCGGTTTCTCCAAAGCTCTCTGGAGTGAGTTTCAAATCATCCAACGAGTCAGACCACGAGTTTGAACGATTTTGCTTGAGATTTTGAAAATTCCAACCCTCGAGGTTCGTGTCTGCTGGATGAATAGTGTGATAGGGTGAACCCCCTGGCTGAAATATTCAATGAAAAAAAAAAAATCATTTTTGAAGGGTACCCAGGGCGTTGACGACTTCCTCCGGTTTCTAACGAGCATTCACACACACTCCAGATGTAAAAAAATGAATAAAATCAACTCGACGAAGAACCCGAGAACCAGTCTTACCTTCAACCACCATTTTCCAGTGAATAGCCTCTATAACAAAACATAGAATAAACGTGAGTTTTCATGGGAAATCATATACCGCTGTCACATTTTTCAATCACCGGTGCTGACGAAATCATAAACATGATAGTACCAGTAAAATTAAAAATAATAGATTGTATTGTGGTTCTCGAGGCACTCAGTCGTACCCGAAGAAGTCCAAAAAAATGATGATGGTATTGTTATCAGGTGCCACATGCATTCAGATTATTTATTGTACGTCAGGTGTGGGAGATACTCACGCTGATGTTGATGGATTTACTAAGAAGATTTTGATTACTCTCGTTATTCTCAGATCGATGAGTGAAAGCGCAACTCAGCATGGCGGCCATTTGTACGTCAGATTGATTGGCGTAATGCTGAATTCTGTAAATAATTCAATTCAATAAATTTTATTTTTTATTCCATTCAATTTCCGTGCAGGTAAAATTGAGAAAATTCCGGTGATAAATTAGTACTCACAAAGAATGAATTAAGTTTTGTCCGAATGGATGCAATTGCCAGGGGGGTACACTATCCATTGAACACGAATTCTGTGAATTATTGGACAGGGGTGAAGATATCACCAGAGAAGCTAAGTACCAAGCCTGGACAAGGTCAGGCCTCTCAAGAGCAGCCGCTACATTGGCATTATGCTGACACATCCCTGGAATATCCGTGACGTTGATAATATATTTCTCAGCAAGTTCTTTATTCACGAAGAAAAGAGATGAGGCGTCGTAAATTGTTGCTATAGAGTAGAAATTCTTGTAGCAACTCCTACTTTGGGTTCTACTCGAACCATGCGCATTCCTCCTACCAGTTTTTTGCTGAAAGATCATTCTCTTAAAATTCCTCTCTCAAAGATTAAAAAAAAATTGCAGGAAATATGATTAATAGAAAATCTTCAACGCACCCTGTCCTGAAAATAAAAAGAGCTGATAGACATGTTGTCCGCAGATTGTCCAAATGATCCTGAATACATATTCATAAAGGGTCCATTCCCAATGGCCGCTGCCAGAGCAGAAAGTGCCCTGGGGGTGATCCCATCAGGTTTCACTGACGTTCTCCTACTGTACGTCGATCTTCCAAAGCACACCAACACTCCAACCCCACAAAATTTGGCCCCCGACGTTCTCGGAAAAGGAATGTACGTGTCTTGATAATTCGATAGAATATTGGAAGAAGCCAAGAAGTCCGTATTCGCTTGAATATAACCCATGTGATTGACCTCGCTCTCATCAGTGGCACAGGTCTGCTCCAAAGTTGTTATCAACTGCCTGAGACAGGGCTCCAAGCACGATCTATTCTTCCTCACCCTTTGCTGTGCTGTCTGCTTCAATACCCTGAGTAATTTAGCCATCGTTGTATTATCCACAGTAGTTCCTGGGCAGAATTGAAATGTTGGCTGGGCAGAGCAGGGATAGTTACCAGGAAAATTAACTTTCAAGATGACATTGTAGTTCTTATTTCTCGCTGTAACTGTACAACTTCTTTCCACAGCATCCATGGCATTCAGCTCAATATTAGGAATATTCATATTAATTAATGAGAACTCTTGCTGGAGTGTTTTTGGTTGTGTTGGAGAGGGCACCTCCTTCTCGCTCTCCACGGTTATAATTTCACTCTGAATGACTGGTCCATCTGATTTCGATGGGAAATTCATTTCAGGTTCATTCTGGGGATCTTGGAGTGTTATTTGTTGAGGAGATCTCAGACTCCTCAGGTTAGTGTCTTCTGAATACTGCGTATATACTGAGGTAGTGTCATCCATATCATGACCACAAAGTTTCTTCAAGAATGGATCAATCTTGAATATTCTGAGGCACTGGTCCTTCGACCAAGTGATCAATTCGTAATCATTATTATCTACTTTTTGGTATCTCCATTGGAACTCAAGGACAACGTCTGTGTGTCCGACGAAAGTGTATATCGGGGCACTGAAGTTCGAGGTATTCCACAGGAGGAGACTATTCTCTCCCCTTCGAAGCTGAGGAACCACGATGGTCACTAGACCCTCTCCAAAGGGCGTGTATCTGGCTCTCCAGACTGGAGAATTTGTCGTTAAAATTCCCTCTGCCCTTCTGGGATTTGTTACATCAAAGATCTTGACTGTACAGTCTTGACTTGATGTTGCTAATTGATTCTGCTGGAAGGGACACCAGTCCAGACCATGAATTTTCGTTAAGTGAGCTGCTATGTACTGCACTGGGCTGTTCCCCTTGCGTTGATCCCAGATTTTGACGTCTCCGTCGTGGGCTGTGGCTAGAGTGTGAGGGGACAGGGGATTCCATCGCACTTGAGACGATCCTGCTACTGCTGAAAGGGACAGAGAGGGCCTACGTTGATCCCTCAGGTCCCAGATGTGAATGAATGTGTCTATACTGCAGGAGGCCAAGATGTCTGGCTCCTTCGGGTGCCAGTTGAGATCACTCACTACTCGAGTGTGAGCTCGCAGACTGTGAGTTGTCTGGAGATCTTGTCCTCCTGCATCTGCGAAGCTCAGGACTTCCACTCGAGTATTACTCTGTGCGGAATAATGGAATAATTTTTTGCTCGGGTGATAATACATTTTCATAATAAAAATATAATAATTTATTAATTTCCTAACATTTAGGCCCTTCTTCAGTAATTATTATGATGAAATATATCAACAAATCGTATAATTGTACAAAAAAGGTCGATAAAATATTTTGAACTCTTTTCACATAAAAAAAAAATTGCTGGGGTTAAATTGAAGCAATTGCTCACGTGTTTACATTTCAGAGCAAGCGAGTAATCTTCTAATTTTGATGAAATGACCTCATACGGAGGAAACAACTAATTGATAATTTTTTCGGGGGTTTTTCCACCGACAGCTGCTATCGAAATAGTTATCAAGAAGGTGAACTCGTAGATTATTTTTATTTTCAAGTAACGAAGTATTCGATCATTCAATCATTCCGGTGAAATTTGATCGTGACCTTCTAATGCATTACCGGAGTTATGTCTCAAAGATTTCTCACCGAAATAGCGCACAAATGACAGTTGGGTAACGTAGGATTCCACTCAGCAGATCCAACTTCATATTTACTCTGTCTCATAAATTTCTTTAGATTATCGGAGCCCTCATTCAGCTGCTTCACCGCGAAACACCTTCGACTGAAAGAAAAAAAAATCTCACCATAGATGGAATAAACAAAAAAAAACAATAAACAATGTCCTCACCCAGCGAGAAGAAGATAGCTGCCGGTGGCATCGACAGCCATAGTATTCGCCTACAACAAATTCATCCAAGAAAAAAATCCATTACAAAATACGTCCCACTATTACAAAACATTTGGTACGAAAATATAAATAATCACCTGCAGATCCCGGTGTTCCGTGACAACATAGTCACTGCCCCAGCGTTTTAACATTTTACCAAATAAACGTCACCATTTTCCGAGGTTAAAAAAACACTGTCCTGTGCTCCCACCTCTCTCCTCTCATTTCTGATTTTCACGAATGCTCACTGAGGAAATCAAGAATCATGCAGACGCATGTGTTCTTCAATGTTCAGGAGAAGAAAAAAAAAATGAGAATTTGGAGTGGACTACGCCATTGCTGTGCGCAATGACCATCAAAATTGTTTAACCACCGCGCAGTTGCTACGGCCCGTATGAAAATGAAGAGAGAAGGGGAATAACCGCGCTCACATTATCCTAATTACAGACCAGCTGATATTAACGAATTTTTCATCGTAATTGCTACGAATGTCATTTCAGTATCTGTCAGAATTAATCCATCATCTCTGGAATTTTCCATAAATATTTGGAGTACTGGTTGTAGCGAGGGGTGAAGGGAAAAATAGTCGTGATTGTTTGGTGTTGAGAATTGACAGAACCGTGAAACTTCATTTCTGTCAGGGGTGCAAGTGAGATAGAAATACCTGCGGGTTGGGGAGAGTAAAAAGAGATTCGTAAGGACGCCTTTGTGCTATTTCTGTCACGTAGACTTGCCAGTATATGCATCTTCACTACATACACAAGACTCAAGTCAAATCTCGGTTCATCGGTTTGTATATCAGGAAAATTGCGCGTCTACTCTTCGCAGTTGGATAATAATTACAATTACCGGAGAGTTGTTAATAACTTGTGGTATTGGAGTGTTTTTGGGTGTTAATTTTCAGTGCGTTAAAACATTGAGAAAAAATGATCTCAATCATGGATTGTTTTCGGCAGTAGCGGAGTGATTATTCATCGACTGATAAACAACGAATTGTTCGTGAGGAGATTGTCATTGGAGTAACGGAGGCATTGTTTTGAGAATTTTTTTCCGAGATTGAGGAGTTCGTGCTGTAACATTTTTTGAACAAATTCTACTGTTTGTTTTGAGTGTACGTTATCTTTCAGTGCGTCGTTCATTGGCGTCACGTCAGTGTCCACTTTTTTTTCCAGTGAAAAATAGATACAGCATTAATAATACATTGATCATAAATTTCACTGAGCGCCTACAGTTTGTCAATAACTCTGGTATTTTTTTTGGATTATATTCATAGAACAAAAAAGGGATTTATCATTGTGATGTACCGAAAGTGTAGCACTGAGGAATACTCCGTTACATCGACCATCAAATTGCTGCACTCAAAGAGGAAAGGAATTTTCATAAAAAAAATGCTCAAGGACACAATAAGTATCAGAAGTCCCTTAAATTTCCTAGCTTTTCGTCTGTACTGAGGTGATTGATTCCGCTACAGGTGAAAATTCAATTGATGAGATTTATTTCTGTTCCTTTTATTTTTCTTTTCAATAAAAATTTGAGGAGAAATTTTTCTCACGATTCTGCGATTTGTCGAAGAGCTGATAACTCCGGCAAAATATCGCGTTGAATGCCAGGGAATTGTTGATTGTTGATTATTGATTATCCGATTGATTGATTGATAAAGTCTATCAACTCACCGAGGTTTTCAACGATAAATAGCATTTTGGGGGAGAATTAATTAGCAGCCATGAAGCTGTTAGAGAGCACTCGGTTCGAGGCCATTAACAATGCCCTGTGTATCAAGACTGGTGACAGCAAAATCATCGGGAGGTATTTAAAAATATTTGTGTAGTTATTAAATTTTTAACTTGTATATGAGCATCTGATTCTCGGAGAATAGAATTTATCTGTCATTGATAATAAACTAATTAATACTTTATGATAAAGGATCGAGAGTTACTCCTGCAAAATGGCTGGCAACGACAAACAATTATACAAAAGATTCAACGCCGAGCAGGGAGTCACTCCACATGACCTTCAGGCATTATCACCACCACAAACATCCCTTGGCACATCCCCAGCTCAAAGCTACTTCAGGTATTTTTCATTGTCATCTGTCATCATCCTCATTTCAAACAGTATCAACAATAAATGATAATTTAATTAATTAATTGGTTAGTCGGAGCATCTCGGGCGATGAGGACGGACCACTCTGTGATACAATAAGCCGCAAGACCCTGTTCTATCTCATAGCGACACTCAACTCAGCGTTTCATCCGGATTATGATTTCTCAGATGCAAAGAGTCATGAGTTTAGCAAAGAACCGAGTCTACAGTGGGTTATGAATTCAGTTGACAGTAATCTGAGTGCAACGGCTGGGGATCACTATCGCACCCTGAGATCAGCACTCTGGGCTGCTGTTGAGGATGAGATATCCATGAACGAATGTGATATTTACAGGTATTAAATTTTTCAATGGTTGAAATTCAAACTGGAATTCAATCATTTCATGAATTCCAAGTCCATGAAAAATTTATTAACAGATAATGTTTACATTTCAGCTATAATCCGGACCTAGCATCAGATCCATTCGGCGAGGATGGATGCCTCTGGTCCTTCAATTACTTCTTCTACAATAAAAAACTCAAGAGAATCGTTTTCTTCACCTGCAGAGCTATAAAGTAATGCAGATTATTCTTCGATATTAATATGCAACCCTTTTATTCACGTGGTATTAATTAATGATATTTTTTTGCAGTCCTCTTTATGGCTTGGACTCTGGTGTCGGTTCTGATTTCGCTATGGACGAGGATGAAGATGACAGTTATTAGATAACGATGAATAACTCAATTAGCCTGAGTCTCTGTCCTTGATTTCGTTTACAAGTTGACGAATATCGAATGCCCATGATATTTATCTGTTCTCGAGTTTGATTCAATTTTTCCTGTCTAAGATATTCTCGTGTAATTCCCCTCTTTTCCCCGAGGCTTTGAAAAAATCGTTGATAAAGTGGTGAATTTTTTCATTACAATTTTCAACAAAAAATGTTTTCATATTCTCCGTTTGAATCATATATAAAAAGTCGATATTCTGTTTTTTATTCGTCTTTAGAACGAAATTTTACAAAAAAATATCTCAAAGAGTATTCTCTAGATATTCAATTTTTTCAGAAAATGCTTGATTTTTTTTTCTGTCTTGAACGTCAGACTATCGTAAGGGAAAACTGAATTTTCATGTGAATAATATATATATTTTTATGTATATCATTCACAATTATATTTCACCACTTTACAGCTGACAAGATCATTATTGTTCCTCTAATCATGTCGAAGATCCACATATTACGGCACGGTGTATTATCCAATCGTCTTTTGACATTTTCGATCTCATTTTTTTTTTTTTTTCATTTCTCCTTTTCTCGGATAGTGAATTAATCAATTATTGTTTATTATATATTGAAATTTCGTCTCGATAATTAGTCTGTTCCTCCTATGAAATAATTGTATCCATTATTACATATTAATGCAGCTTCCGATGAGTCAGCATGATTGATAAAATGAACATGTGCAGATGAGAATGAAAATAATTGCGAAATTGAAATGAATTATTAGTTTAATAATAGAAGTTCATGAAAATGGTAATCTCGTTACAATTATTTCTATATTCTCGATGTAGTTGAAGGTAAACAACCCAGAATTGTTGGTATGGGCACAAATAATGACTGATATGGCTCATGTACTTCATACCGTACATGGAAATCACATGGTTTTACGCACTGAATAGTATTGAATGCAATTGTTTATTCTTTTCTTCGCTCTAGATTTTCTTAACGTTAAACTCTTTAAATAGTATCGTATGACCCGATTGTAGATGAGTTGGCCAATGCCTACTGAGAATCAAATAAAAATTACTTTAGCAAGTAGATTAAGAAGTTTTTACAATTGCAATAAAAATCTATCAATCATCATAAATGTTATTTCTGGCAATAGAAATTATGAGGTTTGAGTTTAATCCGTGGAAGAGAGACGACAGTGAAATTATTCTTCGACTTGAGAATAAATAACGAGGAAGAAAGAATAATTAATGAGAAAAGTAAAAAAAAATAAGTGACAGGAAATGACGAAAGTCCAATTGAATCAACAGAACATGACTTTATCATTCTTTATGCATTATTTTTTAATTCAAATAAGATAACACCACTACACGAATGTCTCAGTGTAAAATAAAAATTATAAATAAAAAATTCATGGTGCGAATTATCCATTCATACTGAAAGAGGAAACGCAAAAAAAAAACGTAGAAATATAATCACTCTTGAAATTAATTCGAACAGTCCTGCAGTTTTTTGCTTTTTCTGTGGTAATTATTTTTAGGCTAATTATGCACTTGCCTCACCTACATTAGTTACTTGTACATCATTACGTCTGGGGACTGATACATGCACATGTATCCATCGCAGAGGAGTCTTTTCGCGTGCTCGGGGAGTTGTCGGTCATCTGTCAATTCTGAAAGGTAATTCGAGCCCTCCTCACTCAACCAATACGGAAAATCTGGACAGGGAACCATCTCCGGAATATTATATCCATTTTGTTCTCCTATAACAGAGATAAAACAAAAAATAATTGTCACATGAGACGAATGAAAAAAATCGATCGTAATAATGAATTTTGAAAAGGGGAGAATTACCTTTTCGATCAGCCATAGAATCAAAGAAGCACCAAGGTGCCTCAGATCCTGAGCCGCATTTGACGAATGAAACATAATGTGAAGTTTCAATGCAAACGACGGCAGATAACTCCAGGTAGAGCCTCGGTACAGGACAATGCTCTTGGAGAATTTGAAACTCCGTGGGTACGCTGAGCTCCTTGGGATCATGATTCGTTCTCCTCTCGTGTCGATGAGCCTGATCCAAACATGGTAAACAAAAAGCTATGCTTTCGAGTCCCATTCCGCACTGTCCATAACACTCCTTGCACTCAAACTCAGCTAATTTACCACAAACTGTGCATTGCCTGGGGGAGTCCTCAATAATATCAGTGACATCTAGCAGAAGAGTTGGTTGAATTTTTGGGTACATTTTGAAGGACTTTCCAAACCTCGGCATCTGAATAATGAGACAAGAGGGTACCTCCTTAAGCCTGATATTGCTCGTCAGGAAACTTTGCTCCAGGAGTTGCTGGACCGTTGGTAGATTCAACTGATCATCCTTCTCCACGAAAAGCTGATAGTGATAGGCATCCTGACCAGAGCTGAGTTTGAGAAAGGGTTCTGCATTGAGAATTTGAGCGACGAGTGATGTGAGAAACTCTTCAGGATCCTTCTCTTCACTGGTGAGACCAGAAATAGAGGACAATTTTTCAAGCAACGTTCGCAGCTTCATGACTCTGTTCGCCTGGACGAACATATTTTTCCTCAACGGATTGACTATTTCCTCTCGAAGCACTCGCTGCACCTCTTCATACTGGGGACAGTCTTTCTCACTCGGAGGTCTAAACAGGAGATTATCGAAGACACTGGTGAATGCAAACATGCTGAAGAGTGTTGCATCGAGGTAACAAGAATTGTGATGACCCTGGATCCCTCTGTACTTTCCACAAATTGTCTTCAAGTCTCCTTTCACGCAGATTGGTCTCACCATACCAGTTATCACGCAATTTTCAGTCTTATCCAGGTCCTCACCGTTCATCTTCACTAGCTGATCATCTCCAGATATCATGTTGTACTGCTGGCACTGCCTGATATCAGTAAATATGGCTCTCTTTGGTCTGCAGTGAAAGTATCTGACGTCATTGTATGTACCATCTGTCCCCTGTGGATGTTGTCCATCCTCCAACTCAACGGCTGCCATAACTTTTCCAGGTGTCAATCCCGCTAAATTTCCAATCCAACGAATCACCCCATACCGAATTTCACCAGCTAGACCAACCTCAACTGCCATTCCCACGTGTAGCTTCTCTCCATTCTCCTTCCTAACACCTTTACTGCTCTCCTCTTTATCCAGAAGTTCCTCTAAAAAAACCAAACAATTAAAATCCCCCGAATCATAATCAGAAAATATTTTCAAAAAAAAATTTAAAAGATCTCAAATAGAATGAGTCCACCCAATCATCGATTAGTGAACCGAAAAAAAAATCTTACTTCGTGAATCTAAATTCAACCGAGCAAAATCATCTGGCACATCACTAGACACATTTGACTCAATATCACTACTCCATTTATGTTCAAGTACAAAAAGCGGAATGTTTAACAAAGTTGTTGCCATGATGTTTGGTCGAAAGACAATAGTAATCGAATAATAAAATATTTGAATGGAGCAAGCGTGATTGAACCGTCCGAGGCACGCCACCAGTCTATTTTAGAAGTAAGGAAGTTTATTATTAGGTAACATCCACAAGTTCTCCCATCAACACCGATTTAACCGCTCATGAAAGCATTAACAAATAATGAAATAACAAATAATGTTATCATGATATATCGAGAGTATGTTTACAAACCGAATGGACAGAAGTCGTATGTGGGCAGATTTTTGCTCAAACTCGTTGCGTCGTTGGAGAGAATTTTCGATTTTGTCGATTGATGAACGATTTTGGGGACTAGAGCATCGTTGAGGCGCACGGTTGCATCACCATTGTTGTTATTACTGTCATCGAACTTCGTCTGGTGTTCTTTGTTTATTAAATTCGAGTCGGTGGTTATTCTCTTTCCGTTTGTATGATTTGAGTGGTTGTTTGAATGATTTGTTGTGCTGTTCAAAAAACCATCGAGTTGCTTTGACAGTGAGGCCTCTATGTCCTGTCGAGGGGATTTAGCATCGATCGGTTCGTGGGGATCCGATTTTATTGGTACGATGCAGCTTAAATTAGTGAAAAGACCTGTTCCTGACTGCCCTGCGAAGTACTTCCTCGCTAGGATGGGGGTGGATAAACTGTCGCAGTGATCCAATATCTCAAGACCAAAATAGAAGCCTGGACCTAGTTCTGTGACTTGTCCAATGTACTTGATGACAGCCTTGAACTTGGCATCAGGATTTGTCGGAGGATGATAATAAACTTTTCCATTTTCCTTCAGATTGTTAGCCTCCTTGCAAAAATCACTGTCACTGGCAAGTCGTACTCGGTCCTGGGGCACTGGAACAGCTGCCAAAAAGTGCCAGACGAGGCAGGGCACAGGTATAAGATCGAACTTATGGCAGAGCCACTCCGTCTTCTTCCAGACCTCTTCATTGTTTGGATTGTTGACTTTAATCCTGAGGGATCCATCATGCAACAATTCATTGGCTTCCACGAGCATTCCAAGTTTCAGACAAATGACATTGACATCACAAGCACCTGATCTTCTGTTGAGAATTGTATTTTTTCTCGCTATGTAGTGACAGGAAAGGGCTGAGCCCTTGCCATCCTCGTTTTGCCACTTCTCCATGTCTCATGTATTTGCCTCAATGATTTTTTGACTCTGTCGGGATCCAAAGCTCCATTGTTTCACTTTTTATAATTTTACACTGCAGCAACGCTTCACGCCTTTCGGCCATGCACGTCCATTCGATAATCATAACGTGTAACGATTTTTTCAGAATTCATTGGCGTTTGGAGGCCCTATCTTGGGAGTGATTCAATCACGCTCGAATGACACTCATCTGACAGACCTGTCTCCTCGTGCTGTATTTTGGTTTCTTTTTACGGACATATGCAAAAATAGGAGTTGGTTAGTTGGTAAAGGGAATGCCTACGTTGCCTGGTGGTTTGCCTCTCAAATATTTCATTTGAAAGAAAATTTCCTGTACTGATGCACCCCGAGTGTGCTCGATAATTGCCGAGAGTTGGACCAATGAGAATCGGCCAACTGTTGAACTTTTCATCGGGATTCGTCCATTTTTGGGAGAATCTAACAGCATTATGGGCAATGACCAGTGGCGGCGTGGGTGTCTGATACCATTGATTCTCCCTTTTGCGTGGACCAATCCGGAAGATCCACGAAAAAGTGACCGTAGTCTGGAGGCGAGCAACTTCTCAAGTCCCATAACCGGTCAAAAATAAGTGCATTTGTTAGTTTGTTTTAATCATTCGACTGAAACCCTCGAACGACAATCGTCAGCGAAGCAGAAGCCATGAAGGTTCTTCTAGGCGAGTACCTCCGACTGCTTCATCTTTTATTTACAAAAAAAAATTAACCGGCTTCACCGGTTTCCAAACATTCTCACATTTGTTTTCCCACAAATGTTTTCGTCATTTTTTGAAGCCCTCACGTCTTTGATTTTTTTTTCCAGGCCTTTTATTACTCACTGTTGGGGCAAATTGTTTGTATTCGTCGACCTCAGATGTTGTGCAGTTGAACCCCAGTAATTTTGATAAACTTGTGACAAACAGCGATCATGTGTGGATTGTAGAGTTCTTTGCACCCTGGTGTGGACACTGCCAGGCACTTACTGCTGAGTATGATAAAGCTGCAACAGCATTGAAGGGTGTTGTCAAGTTGGGGGCAGTAGATGCCGACGAGCACAAATCTCTGGGCTCCAGGTTTGGAGTTCGTGGCTTCCCAACAATCAAAATTTTCGGTGGAAACAAGAACAAGCCGGAGGATTACAATGGTGCTAGAACGGCATCAGATCTAGTTGATGCAGCCCTGAGCGCTGCCAAGGCCAAGGTGAAATCAGCTCTGAATGGCAAAAAGAGCAGCAGCAGCAGTGGTGGAGGCTCGTCAGACTCCAAGAGATCAAAGGATTCCGACGATGTTATTGAACTGACCGATGATAATTTTGACAAATTGGTTCTGGGATCCGATGACATGTGGCTCGTGGAGTTCTTCGCTCCCTGGTGTGGGCACTGCAAGAATTTGGCACCAGAGTGGGCATCAGCTGCTACAGAATTAAAGGGAAAAGTTAAACTGGGAGCACTTGATGCTACAGTTCACACTTCCAAGGCCAGTGAATATGGTATCAGGGGATATCCCACGATCAAGTACTTCGCACCTGGTTCCAAGGACACTGATTCAGCCGCTGAATACGATGGTGGAAGAACATCACCGGCTATTGTTAGCTGGGCACTCGATAAATGGTCACAGAACGTCCCAGCACCAGAGGTTATCCAACTCGTTGGAAAACAATCGTCCAAGGACGCTTGTGATGGAAAACAACTCTGCGTTGTTTCTGTTTTACCAAATATTCTTGATTGTCAGTCTGATTGCAGGAATGGTTACATCAGTACTTTACAAAAATTGGCAGACAAATTCAAGCAGAAAGACTGGGGGTGAGAATTTATTAATATATTTACGAAATATCGATTCCACTTGGCGTTGAATTATTTATTAATTACAAATATGTGATTAATTACAGATGGGTGTGGGCTGAAGCTGGAGCACAACCAGATGTAGAGGAAGCCCTGGAAATTGGTGGTTTCGGTTATCCAGCCCTTGCTGTTATCAATGCTAAGAAACTTAAATATTCACTCCTGAGGGGGAGTTTCTCATATGACGGAATCAACGAATTCCTGAGGAATCTCAGCTATGGTAGGGGTGGCACAGCGCCAGTCAAAGGTGCTGAACTTCCAAAGATCCGTGAAACTGAAGCCTGGGATGGCAAGGACGGTGTACCTCCACAGGAGGAAGACATCGATCTCAGTGATGTTGATTTAGATGAGAAGGATGAACTCTAGATAAAAAATCTTTGTGATGAGAGCTTCGAAGAATGAGTCATGTACCACATTGTCAATTCTCTTCCAACGCATTTGTAAATCATACATGGTTTTTTTTTCCAAACGTCATTCCATATGAATTTTTTATATAAAGAAAGACGGAGAATTGAAGCTCAACCTGATTTTTATTTTTTGAAACATTTTAATCATGAATAATTATCAAGGTGTGAATGGACTGTGTAATTTTTCTATAATCCACACGGATATTGAAGAATCAGGATGATATATTATTATGAAAATAAATACAATAATTTCTACATGATTCATTTACTTTTCTATGATTTCTTTACTCAACTCTTCAACATTTTTTATGAGAAACTCAATTTTAATCGCGGAAAAATTAGGATTGAATTAATTTTAATCTTCCTAGATCACTTCGTTGAATAAAAGTTGTCCAATTGTTAAAATAAAAACGCAACAACTGTTACGAATTTATCATCTCGAGAGAGTGAGACTCACGAATATTGTAGAATATGTGTGTAGAAGTGAAAAAAATAGATTGTGAAATTTTTTGTAAAAAAAATAATCGACCAACATATCATCACCAAAGAACTGCAGTTAATTTTAGTAGTCGATCTAGTACTCGTTGAATTGATGTCATTGCGTTCTTTGCTGCAGGGCAATCATGCAATTAACAGGGAAGTGGTGAATCGCAATAAATCAGTCCTGAGAGATTCATGATCTATTCATGCATCACCAACTGATCTCGCACCAAAAAAAAAAAAATATATCAGAAACCCCCATTATCAAATGTAAATTGTTTTTTTATTGAATAATAAATGTTGTAAAAAATACACTGCACTGTCCGTAATGGCGAATATTGTCTGCAGTACTGATGAAAAAATACTCATGATTTATTTCAGTCTGATCATAAAATTGTAAAATTCGAATGAATTTCTATTTGATGTTATAAAATATAATTGTCTCCCCCGGGGACTCACCGGTGTCAATTGAATATTAATATATATTTTTTAAGGCCTAAACAATCAGACGACATTTGTCAGCTCGATCATGTCGTAATTACGCTCTTTTTTACAGAGATAGGGGTAAAAGACAAATGCATAGTAACCGGTCGTCGTGATGATTATTCCTGCAAGGATTAATCCGATGATCCCCCATGCCGAGAGGGTACTGCCTCTCCTCACATTCTCGGATGGTGATTGCAGATTTTTCGGTTTCTCCTGGGTATTACTCATTTGAGGATAACTAGCTCTTTGAGATCGGTCCCTGTAGCTCGCCATCCTGGCATTGAATCCAGCCTCTGACTGCACAATCACTTCACAAATAGAAAATTTCCCAGATTTTAATTTAAAATTGCACAATTATTAAAGGCGATCCTGCAGTTTAATAAATTGTTCCCAATGTTGTTTAATTGAGTTTGAATAAAAAAATCGAATTTCTAGAATGGAATTAAATTTTCCTGTGAAATTGGGAATTAAGACACGTGTATAAAAAATAACCCCCACCACTCGATATTTTTTTATTCCAAAAAATGTAATGTTTTTTGTTCAAATTAATAAAATTATTGTAAGTAATGAATAAACTTACGTAGAGCTGTGATAATGAGTAGGACTAGTGCTTTCATCCTGATAAATTATTCGCAGTGTTTATGAATTGGGAATAAAAAATTAAATTTGGAGTTGTTCAGTGCGATGGGACGCTTCTTTTTATTTTGACAGAGCCGCTTGGCATCCCTCTTCTGAATGACCATACTATACCATGTGCTCTTCACTATATTTTAACACTATGTGGGATCCAGTGATTCGGCTCTTCCTAATCAGTCCTGATTGGATTGAATTACGAAACACTCGCAGTGATTACTCGGACCGGATTGCAACAGGTGGTATTTTTACGACCTTGTGACATTTTTATTGCAAATTTGAAATTTAATTTGTTATAACAACATTCTGTTAATACTAATCCCTTTGTTTATTCCTAGGCCTCGAATGAGTTGTTTTTTGTAGGACAATTAAATAATAACAACGAATTTTTTAATTATGAATGGAATTAATGTACGCCGAGCAGTACGAAATGACTGTGAAGGAATAAGAAAATTAATTCAGGTATGACCTCTTTAATTTTTTATTGCAAATAATTTTTTAATGAAAATCGTAATGGAACTCTAAAAAATCGATTTTAATGATTTATTTCCAGGAGCTTGCAGATTTTGAAAATATGTCTGATGGTCCAAAAATCGGAGCAGACAGTGAGTACACATTATCCGATTTTAATTACTCTACCAAAATTTAATACATCGATTTTCTGATAAGGATTACATGAGTGAATAACACACGTCAATCTCGACACATAAATTTCACACATGGGAAAATTATTTTTATTCAGAAAATAGAAAAAATGATTTATTGAATTTGTTTGTTTAATTTTATGTAATCTATTCCTGAGTGTTGTGTAATGTAAAATTGAATAGTAATTATTAGAAGTAATTCGCATAAATTAATGAATTTATTTCAGTCTTAGAAAAGGACGGGTTTGGTGATCATCCCCTTTTTTCCTGTTTCGTAGCTGAGAAAAATGAAAAATTAATAGGTTATGGATTGGTTTATTTTATTTATTCAACTTGGGACGGGAAATCTATGTTCCTTGAGGATTTATATGTGATTCCTGACGAGCGAAGGCACGGAATTGGTTCTCTACTCTTCGATGCAGTCATTCAAGTTGTTATTCATCCCCCGGATTTGCACGATAAACGACATATCGATCCAGATTAATATCGATTTATCTTCCAGGAAGCTGCAGCCACGAATTGTTGTCGATTAGATTTCATGGTATTGAAGTGGAACCCAGCGGCGAATTTTTACAAGCAGAAGGGAGCAGTTGACATCACAGAAAAAGAAGACTGGCATCATTATCGATTGGATGTAAATGCTAGTAAAGAAAGTTAAAAAATTATGTGTATTCATAAATAAACTGAATTAATTTCAGAACCATCGAAATTCAACTTCCATAAATGACAGTTTTCAATGAAAATCTGTTTTCATTTGTTATAAATCATTTCCAAAATGAAAACAGCGTGACAAAATGGAAATAATCGGAGAGGGAAGAGGAATTTCAGAGATCAAATGGGGAGATTGTATTTTGGATGAAAATTTTTGGGAGGAGCCAAACGATATTTGGGAGGCAGAGGAGATCGAGGGTTTTTTATCAGATCGAATGATTGAAAATCGTTTAAGTCTTCTAGCCAAATGCCGGTACGAGGACAGTTATGCCTTGACAAAGTGTAATTTAAGTCGTCTGGTAAATTGACTTTCACCTCATTCCCGTGAAAAATCTCGACAGGATTTTGTAAAATACCTCCAACCATTCAGAATTATCTCTCTTAATTAATCTCTCTTTATTTCGATCGACAGAATCTCGTGGATATAATGGAGTTACGAAAGTACAAATATCTGCAATATTTAAATCTCTCTTATAACAATATAAACGACTTGTCACCTTTGGAGGAATTTCCTTACCTCACACATCTGGACGTGTCTCACAATAATTTGACGTCTGCAACATTGTCCACCCCTCCATTATATTTAACCCACATGAATCTGTCTCACAACAAAATTACGACGATCCACGACATGTCAGGATTCTGGAGCATCATTTACTTGGATCTTTCGCATAATTCAATCGAATTAGTTTCTGGATTACAAAATCTAAAGTATGAAAACATCTCTCAACGAGTCATAATAATTAACTCTAGTAATTAACTCATTATTTCATAAAATGAGATGAATACGTTGATATCTCTCTCCTCCACCAAAAATTCATTCAAAAATTAATTTCACTTCCCCAATTTGACGTGAAAAATTTATAACCTCATCAGATATTTGAAGTATTTGGATTTATCCCACAACTTAATCGATTGTGTTCGAAACCTGGATGACCTGAATATTGAAAAATTGAATCTGGAGTTCAACCGGATAGCAAAATTCCACTCATCCCCTGGAGAAGGTCTGGATAATCTCCGAAAGCTACGGATTCTGATTCTGAATCACAACAAGATATCTTCGCTATTCTTCCTCCATAATGCTTTCTACTCTCTCCGAATAATAGACCTGGGGCATAATAAAATAGGGGATCTTCTCGGGGTATCAAATGCCAGGGCGTTCCTGGAGGAAATTGACCTTCGTGGAAATACCTGTAATACCTGGCCATTCTACAGAGAAGTCCTTTTGCACGCAATGCCGACGTTGACGTGCATTGACGGATGTGAAGTTGCTGTTTCTGAAAAAATTTCAGCACTCGCGAAGTTCAGTCCCCCAGTGGATCTCTTGGCGTCCAAAGCCCTGAGCAGATTAATTCTCCTGGAACACTTGATTCCTCCGATAATTCATGACAATGTCATTCCTTACGATCAGCCTGATCCTGTCCTGGTGGTCCTGAGTGGTCCCTCGGCTGTTAAAAAAATTATTTTGGGCCTCAGGATTGCTAAAAGAATGCCCGACAAGGTGAAGTACTGCAGGAGCTACACCACCAGAGAATTTTCAGCTCACGAAGAGGCCAGGGCTTACAAATTTATTGACAGAGAAAATTTTAATGCTATGGCAAGAAATGGTGAATTTTTGACGGTGGAGGAACTTGTTGGAGATAGTTATGGATTTCGTAAGAGGAAATAAATTAACAGACTATTACGAATGCAGTTTGAAATAAATATTTCAGTTTTTCATTTTTGATGCAATGATTTTTTTAAATATTCAACAGACGCTGAAGAAATCGGGATTTTGCGGAAGGAAAATAAAATCGGAATCACTCAGATGGATTTGGGGGCAACAATACAACTGAAGCATCGATATCCAAACGTAAAAATAATTCTTGTAATGGTGAATAATGAGGAAATTCACGAGCAATGGATCAGGGATAAATTTAAAATATTCACCTGGATTAAGGACAGTGTGGAAAATTTATTGGCGTTGACGATTGGAAGATTGTCGCGAGAAAGTAATGTCGAATCAGCAGTTAGCAAGCAGAACTTCGTATCTCAGATTATAAGTGAAATTATACAAGACCTGGATTTACCCAATTACTGTAATTACGTGAGACCCCAGGGCACTGGAGCAACTGCTATGGACATTATTCTGCAGAGTCGAATGATGTTGGGTAGAGTCACCAAAACTGCCAAAGAAATTATTACTGAGAAACATATTCAATTTCAAAACGACCCAGGGAGTGACGAGAGACAGGAAAATATTCTCCAGTCAACCTTTTCAGATTTGAAAGTAATTATTCCCTTTTTCATTTTTAAATAATTTCATTTTTTAATAATTTCATTTTTAAATAATTTCATTTTTAAATAATTGAAACCGTGGGATTATCAAGGAGTAATAAACAATTTTAGATTATTTTGGACGAGCACAAAAATATAATCGTAGACGACGAGGAGTCAAAAAAGAAACGGAGAATGAATAAATATCTGAAACGTCGCGAAGCCATCGAGGAAAAGGGAGAATCACCTGATGCCATGTCTGAATCAAGTGATGATTCGCATTATCGATTTTTCGAGAGTCTGCAACGAACTGATGAGACGAAATATCTAATGAATTTTTACGTCGACGTGGTGATGAGATCGAGACACTTGTACATCGATAGGCACTTGAAAAATCCTGGATTTTATTCACTTACTGTTAGCTACCGGATTAATTAATTCATTCTTCCTATAAATCACTCCTAAGATTTTCTATTTCAGGTTTTTACTGATGACTTCCACCGCGCCCTGCGTTCCCTCGAAAAATTTATCAATACACAAGTGATTGACAAATTTAAAGAATGTAGAATTCCTGATATAATCTATCGAAATGAAGTGATCATCCCGAAGATCGTTGAAGACATCCTCATTGAAGTAAACCATCCCTCCCTCTAAGGTAAATCGAAAAATGAATTTTTTAATCAGCAATGAATTTCCCAGTAGAAAATTTATTATACAAATCGTTAAAAGTTGAAAAAAATATTGTACAATTGCAATTTCGAGGGTATAATTTACATGAACCGTTGGCTAAATGGTTTCTACATTGAATGACTCCTGGTAGGTGTTCCTAATGATAACATCGAGGTCTTTATAATTATCCTGAGTAGCTATTTTGTTGCTATCTAAATTGAATTGCTGCCAGTTTGATTTTCTAGTCTTCAGATTATTCTGTTGAGTCACAGATACAAAATGATATTGTTCAACATGATTATCCAAAGCTTCTCTCGCATCCAAGATCTCATCACATTGATCACACCTGTACGAATGTATTTCTGAACAATTTGTCATTCTTTCCCCCGCGTCGTGAATTTTCTGATGAGCGCATAAATTATATCTCTCAGCAAATCGTTTACCACACACATCACAGCTGAAAGGCTTTTCTCCAGTGTGAACTCTCATGTGACGTTTCAAATGAGATGTAGATAGCAATGTTGCATTGCAAATGTGACATTGATACGATTTTTTTCCCGTATGCGAGAGTACATGCATATTGTAAGACGTATGATGAATAAATCTTTTACCACACAGGTCACACTGATACGGCATTTCTCCAGTGTGCATTGGCAAATGTCTCCTGAGTGCTCCTTTCTGGGTGAAACACTTATCGCAAAAACTGCACTTGAAGGGATTAATTCCATTGTGCATACCAATATGTACCTTGAGGGCATGCTTATGTTTATATGCTTGTCCACATTTTTCGCACATGTACGGACGAATAGACGAGTGCGAGACGATGTGAGTCTTCAATTCCCCTGGTGTCTTCCATTTTTTATCGCAGATCGAACAGGAATACTTTGGTGATTTCTCCAGGGATTTCCTCCCAGGCTTTTTCAATTTCTCTTTATCTTCAAGGTTTCTATTGTCCTTTGGAGATTCTTCAATCAAACTGAAACCATTAGTTCGTAAATTGTTTGGTATTTCTGGTAGATTAAGGCTCGATTGCGAATCTCTTTGGCTCTCGTCGGGTGGAATATTGTTTGTGCCAGTTAAATGATCTTCGTGATTGAATCTTCCGAAATCTTGAGGTTGAGGTGTTGAATACACATGATTATCAATGGCACTGATTTCTTCTTGTTGAATTTCATTTTTTTTCAGGTGGCTGGTGTCATTTGAGGCATAAGTCTTCAGTATCTCATTCTGAATATTTGTCACGGTGCACTGGGCTTGCTCCAGCATTTGAAATAAATTGTAACATTGTGGGCACAAATAAGAACTTTGTAGGTCAGTAACGGAGGGACGAATTGTGCCTAGAACAAAACTGGCCAAGAGCTCCCCACTTCTGGGTAATGAAGTGTAAAAAATATTTATTGATGATGATATTTCCAGGGAGCTTCTGCACACTAGACACATCAACTCCGAGGAAGTCGGTGAGGTCATCTCGATTTTATTTCTTCTCTCAAAAATTCAGGGGTTTTAAGGATTTCTTCGGACACAGGGTTAATGGTTATGACAATGGTAAACACTTTTCATCCCCCACACCACGCGGTTTCCACATCAGATGTTTGACCTTGGTAAAACAGACTACGATTTTACTCACTGGGTTATTGACCTGGCTTTGTTGTTGTAAGGAAAATAAATCTCAGTCACAGCTAAATCTTCGCTGGTACACACAGGAAAATTATCTCTTCGAATTAAATACTCTGAAGAAATCAAATAAATCGTTCATGTGGTACACGATTTTATTTTTTAATTCAAAAATAGTTGATGCGTTTTCGAATTTTCCTGTGTGTACAATATTCATCCGAAATAATTTCGGTATCTCCTGTTTATCATTTCCTTAATCGACGATTCACTGCTTTCAGCAATCAATTTATTGTAATGACAAACAGCTCTCGAGGGGTTGATGATAGTCTCGTGGAAATGTTAACCAATGATTGTTTACGTGAAATATTCAAGAGACTGTCAATTCGTGACAGATTAGCTGCGGAGAAAGGTAAAAATATCAATTTTTTTTGTGTTCTCTAGGTGTAGAGACCTCAAATAGTAATTAGAGGAATAATTAAAAATATTTTAATCCAGTTTGCAAGAGGTGGCGTGCAATTAGTGTCGAGGGCTGGTCAGAGCTGAGGGAATGGTGTGTGAGGGAATTGGGTGTTGTCAATGATGATAGAATTCCCCCCGACGATTACACTAAATTAACTCTTGACGAGTTGGCAACGGCTTTGAGAAGATGCGGTCGATATTTGATGAGAGCGAGTTTCATCGTTCACCCAAGTCAATCTGAACTCCCAAAAATCTTCAAAAATTTCTGCAACGGCTTGAAGGAGCTGACATTCTGGCTGCCAGGGAAATTCCAGAATCCAGAGAACATAGAGGAGTTCCTCAAAAACACGGACGATCTTTTCGAAGGGCGAGAGACGATCACAACAGCTGTAGTAAAAGCTGAAAATCCGGAAAGGAGAAAATTTATTCATTATACTGTGAAGAAAAGTGAGATGAACATCAAATTAAGGAGAAATTCCAGATTTCCGAGGCGGAGAGGTTTGCTCAGCTCAAAAATCCGGGCTACTATGGATCTTCTGCATTTTTTTGTTAACTTCAAACATTTGTGATCAATGAGCTTGATTTTAATTTGTATATTCCTTCGATTTGCATAACGCAGAAAGTATTTGAATGTTTTTTATGCAGCCATTTTGACAACAGAATGAACGAAGAAATTTCAATTTTTTTTTACTTCTCGCTGAGGATTCCTCACCATTAATCGACGCGACTGATGTTTTTTTTTCTTAAAACATCGATATATATTTCGCGTGACAACAGAAAATGTTAATAAAAAATGAAAAATTGAACAATCAATGAGTTGATTCAATCCAACAAGTGATTAATTGTAAAGCATATCAGGAGTAATGATGTCGATAATTATTTCATGGCCTAATTGGTCTCGCTGGGGAATTTATTAATCCAAGTAAGACACAGTCGGCTTCCAAAATCGTGAGCTCTTTTTGGGCCCCTAGAAATTTTGCTGACAGCTCCAGATCCTTCACTCGAAGTCGCACAGTTGCTCCTCGAACGAATTCTCTAAAAAACAAAGAATAAAACTCGATAAAAAATGTTCTCAGTAAACTTTGGCAAAAATTCATAAGACTATATCAAAAAATTTACAAAAAAAACCAAAAAATAAGACGATATTGGCAATAACTCCTTGAAAATGATTGCTAAAATCGCAAATAAATTTTGGTTTCAATGTATAAAAATGTATTTTGGGTCAGCGATGCCTCTGACGTTCTTACTGGGAATTTTTTATGGGTCTAGGGCACACGCAGTGAAATTTCCATCCAAAATCGATGTACAAATCGTCGTCTACCACTTGAAATATTCTTCCAGTCACGATTTTCCCTTCTGGATCGCCCATCTGCACAAAACAGTGAATAAAAATGTAAAATGAAGAATTAAATATAATATAATATAAATTTTTTGAACTCACATCAATAAATTTGGAATTTCTGAGAAGACTAGCGAATGTCTGACTCTGCTGAGGCTTTTCCTCTGGTTCTGGTGCATTGAACTTCTCAAAAGCTTTAGCAAATCCACTCAAATGACCATCAGATTTTCCTCCCACCACTTCCGTATCTTCTGCATCACCCACTTTGCTGCACAAATTCGGGGATGACCGAAGATTTGTCAGGAGACTTGGGTTTCTCCGGAGTAAAGACTTGGAAATATTCCTCAAAGACTGCATTATTTATTTCGGTATGACCGGTATCCTCATAGGTTCGATTACACACATGTAAAATATTTCGTGTACCTATCGGTTGCCCCAAAGAGCATTGACTAAAATAGATGCAGTTCTGGGGGTTTGAGTGACCCCAGAGGCATTATAGTACTGCACCACAAGAGAGGGAGGGCGCCACCATATAAATGCTTTTTGTTTTTTATTTATTTCAATGAAATTTAGCCAATTGTCGAACGAGCGAAGGGGGAAGTCACATCTTGTAGAATTTCAGATGGATAAAAAATTCAGTGTGTTGAAGATATACTACTAATGAGATTATAATTTCATAATGAGCGCGTTGGTCTAATTGGTAACGCGCTTGACTGGCACGCGAATCGCTTCGGTTCGATACCAGCATCATTAATTTTTTTTTTTTCAAAATAATTCTAATTTTTATTTTTTCTTAATGGCTAATTAATGAAAATATCGTTTATAAAGTGAATATTTGAAAATCGGAAAGATATCTAGTGAAATTGAAAAATTAGCAATTTTTTAAAACGATACTTTTGCAATATATATACTACTAATTAAATTTTATTATTGTAATATTACGTTATCCTAGCGGTAACGTGCTCGGCTATCACGCCGACGGCCCGGGTTCAAGCCCGCCGTCATTCATTTTTTTTTTTAATAATTCCAATTTTTTCTTTAAGTAGGTATTCACCGCCATTGAAAAATTCGAAATTTTTGAAAAAGTATCAGGGGAACATAACAATCGAGGAGCTATTCACTGAAATTTTCACTGAAAGTGAAAAATTCGAAATTTTTGAAAAAGTATCAGGGGAACATAACAATCAAGGAGTTATTCACTGAAAGTTTCACTGAAAGGGAAAAATTCGAAATTTTTGTAAAAGTATCAGGAGAACATGACAATCGAGGAGCTCTTCACTGAAATTTTCACTGAAAGTGAAAAATTCGAAATTTTTGTCAAAGTATCAGGAGCACATGACAATCGAAGAGC